TTATAAATTCTGACCACTATTAATTATATATTATTTTTGATAGTTTTTTTTTCCACTAGAGCATGATTCATTTTTTTTTTCCAATTTTAATCCCTCTATATTGAGATGATCTATGTGTTAAACATATACATGCATGATGTGATGTCATTCGTATTCATGTCATGTTGATATATCGAATTATTTTAATTTCTGCACATTTATTACAGTAATTTTTTACGAGACATGAACCATACACAACAACATTAACATTCAGAGGGAAAACGTGCTTTAATAGTCAGTTTTCATTTATTGGGAGCCTCTCAAGGTCACCTTGGACCCCATACATAGTAAATTCGGATTACCCATTAATTATAAATATCGATGAGTCTTCACTAAAAATTAAATTTGTGACATCCAAAATTATGGGCTTGCTTGAAAGTTCACCCATGCAGCATTCATTACCCATGTACACATGTCTCAAGAGTATTTTTTTTTTCTTTTTTCAGAGGGGGTTTCAACGGTTAGGGGTATCCATATAACAACAAATTTCGTGCGTAATATAATACAAAATAAAGTCAAATTATAATTGTTGATTTGAATAAAAAAATAATGTTGACCCTCTTCAGCATTTTTCTTATGTGCACTGTCCTTTGAGAGAATTTGGTGAAGATGAGAGACAGATTGGTGTGTTTCTCGACATTTAATTTAGGGGCTGTTTGGTGAATACGAGAGCTGGATCAGAGTGTTTCTCGCTCTTTGATTTGGTGATTGTTCTAATGAATTTTCTCATCATTCTTTATTTTGAATGACTTAAAGATGATTTGGTGAAGATGAGAGCGAGATTGGCGTGTTTCTCAACTTTTAATTTAGTGGCTCCTTGATGAATACGAGAGCTGAATCAGTGTGTTTCCCGCTCTTTAATTTGATGATTGTTCTAATGAATCTTCTCATCGTTTTTTATTTTAAATGGTTTAAAAATGATTTGGTGAAGATGAGTGTCAGATTAACATATTTCTCGACTTTCAATTTAGTGACTGCTTGGTGAATACAAGAACTAGAACAGCGTGTTTCTTGTGTCTTTCATTTGGTGATGGCTATAATGAATCTTCTCATCATTTTTCATTTTGAATGGTTTTAAGATGATTTGAATTTCTTAAATAAGGACTTTGGCGAGCTTCGCTCACCCGATCTTTCCTTCTCCCTCACTTATTCTCCTTAGCCTTCTTGGCCTCCTCCTTTGGCCTCTCCCATACCCTTTATTTATAGTACTCTTATACCCTTTATTTATAGTATCGAAAATAGTTATCTATATAAAAGTATTTTACTTAAATACCCTTATATGACTTTAGGTAGTGGATCACCCATATTTATTTAAATTTATGGGCTTTGGATTTAACACAATTTAATTTGACTAGCCTAATTAACTAAATTTGAGCTCATATTATTTGGATTGTAAAATTTGGGTCTAACTCAAGCCTTGGCTTGTATTATTTGGACTTATAGAATTTAGGTCCAACTAAATTTAATTTATTTCATTAGTTTGAGCCCAATTACAGACATTAATTTGTTAATTTTTAAATATCTATGGTCCGAATTAGTTTACTCACAACTCAACTAATTTATTCTTTGATTCGATCAAAGGCACGTCATTCATGTTTGTCTCAAGAGTTTTATTGTACAAGTGAGTCTCCTCATATATATTATAGATCAATTGTTGTGAATTTAAGAGTAAAATTATTATATTATATATAAGTAAATTATTTGCTGACTTAATAGTAAATGATGATTAGTAAAAGCATGAAAGACAAAAAATTATTGTAGAGGGTCTCAACGGACGCGGAAAATAAAATGATTATTTTCAAGGCATGTGGGCCATGAAACGTTGGTGGGCCAATGGGAATGGGTCCTTTTTCCACTGTTTGGATGTCATCTCTCATTATTGGTCCAACTCCACCTTTACGTGATCCATATACGGCCACGTATTCATGTTACGTTTTTTTTTATGTGGGCCCATTTTGTAGTTCATCTAAGATTCGTCGTTTTTCTTTTTTCTGTTTTTTTATTGCATCTCATTAAATTTCTAAATTATAAGTACGACCCCCTACTGTTTTGGATTTGGGCACGGTTAGTCTGGTCCAAACAGAGCTATTGATATGATACAACAGTTCAATTTCTTTTTCTACGGTATCGAATATAATTGGTCAAGAATCCCTCCACGTTTTAAAAAAAAAATTTGCTATGATTTTTCGCGTCTATAAGTTTCATATGTCACAAAAATTCTTTTAATAACTAAATCTTGCAAATTTTAGAGATTATTTTCAAATATTTTTTCGGAGTGATGGTATATGTGTATTTTATTCCATTTTAATTGCATAACTATAATCTAAACAATTTTTTTTCTACATTTGTTGTTAAAATTTTAACACACTAGCCTCATCGAGAAGGACAACGCGCTAATTCTTACCGTTGTCAAAATTTGATGTACAATGTATCACTCACAAAGTGATAAGGGACAAGTGTTTTTTTGTAGATCTACTGGCTTATCAAAAGACCTTATCGAGCAATTAGTGATTTAATGTGACATTAAAAAAAATGTCTTATTTTTTAATATAATTGACACCTTTATAATCATGATATTGACCACTATTTAGGTATTTGATACATCTTTAATAACTCTATTTTTTTTTGTTACTTACCAAAAAAAAAGCTATGTAAATACCTTAATGATTTGGAGGTTAAATGGAATTTGTGGGCTAATATACGAATTTAAATTTGTTTGGGCAATAGGAATATTTTGTATCAAATGGTGAAAAGTGGCAGTCCAGAATGGTATAATTACAGACCAGCCCCCACAGGTACCTGTAAAACACAAATCACGTGGTGGTTTCAGAGAAGGGCGAAGCTTCCATCGAGTTTGTGTTAGACCCTTCTCTATGAACTAACTGTTCTGATTCCAAACAAAACCGTCAAACCTACCCCCCAATAATTAAGTCTTTTTTTTTTTTTTTTCTTTCTCGTTTTATGTGTTTTGATGAACACGTTATGTTGACTATCTGATTGTTAGGTAAATGATATAAATCATACTCATAAATTTCAACCCAATTGTACATTGATTTTAAGGCTGATTTCATACCAATTATAGAACGGGTCAAGAGTGGAGCAAGCCGATGTTGAGATCCACTTTTGATCCTAAAAAATGGTAAAGATGGAATACAACTTTAAATCTCATATATTACACGATTCTTATCTAGCGAAACTCAAATGACAATTTGTAAAGAGAGGCAATGTACCTTTTTTTTTGTCTACAGCTAATGTACGATTTTAGTTTGTGCATAAACAAGTTATGTCAAATATGCTGCTAGGTGATACTAATTTGGTGTAATTACATCTGTGTGCACATACATGAGAAAGTATATACGAAATCGTGATTCATATCTGTTTCACATTAATTTACGATTTATTGTTTTGCTTAGATAAAATGTTCAATATCATTGAATTTCAAATTTATATATCGTTTGCGTCTAATTGATTGAAATTCTATCAATTACTTTCACTTAATGTTATTTGTTTGTAAATCACTTACCAGGATTTTACAAGTAAAACCCCACATCTATATATAATGGGTGATAAATACAATCAAATGAAATTATAGAAGATAGCTGGACAATTTTTTATGGCAAAATCATGAGAAATTTATCTCTCATGAATATTCTAATCTCAGTATAAATAGTCTGCCTTTTAATCGGACTAAGAAATAAATTAATCAAAATACGTGTAAACTGATCCGAACATATCTTATAATTAAAAAAAAAATTAGAAATGATAGTAAATAGAATCGAATTCTGGGCCTACCAGCCTAATTTGTTTATTGCAAATTTGGAGGGTATTAATGAGAGATGCTTTATGGCACATGGAAAGGGACCCTTAGCTTGAATGAGGCCAAGAGGCCAATCGTCTAACTTGTAGGGTCTGGCAAGAAATTTAGAGATTGGTAAAGCTGACGTTTTGACACGTCGATATATATTTCTTTTGCGGAGGCAACACAATAATTCCCCAAAAAAAACAAATTAGTCACCAGTACTGTACCACGTAGCCTTTGAACGAAAATGGGTCCCAGTACTTACCTGCGTAGTGGGTCCAGTAAGATTTTCCAATTTTCTGGATTGAATAAGGAGCTTTTCCCGAACCAGTCTCCTTCAAAATTTAATTCCATAATTCAATCACTTTTAAACTTATTTTTTAAATTTAATCTTTTTTTTTTCTAAAAACATCAATTGAAATGACACTTTCTCTCCTAAAAACGTCATTTAGAATGATGATTTGGACATAAATTTTTTTTGGTCATTTAAAATGAAATTTTGTAACAAGAATTTTTAACGGAGTGTAACAGACATTTAAAAAAATAAAAAGATTAAAAACGTCATTGTAAATGACATTTTATGTCTTTTGTTTAATCACGTTTTTTACCTCCTTAACCTTTACATTGACGTTTTCTATCCCTAAGCCTTTTACATTGATGTTTTCTACCTCTTAGCCTTTTGTATTGACATTTTCTTAGTCAAAAGTCTCCGACCACCAACTTATAATAAATTTCATAAAAGTTAAATAACCACACGTTATGTCTCAAATCATGATTCACTAGACAAAAACAAAAAATTAAATAAATTTTAGAATTTAATTCCCTTTTCATAAAATTTTTGAACTTATTTTATAATCGAAAATAAAATTCATAAAAACATAATTTAATTTCATATTGTTCAATATAAAAACATATTAGTAAAACATATATTTAATAAAAAACCTTAAAAGCGTGTTTTGAAAACACATTTCTATATCAAAAAATATGTTTTGTATATGTTAAAAATCTCAATATTATAATCTCACTTCCCATGTCATAAAAACATCTCAATCTGGAGGAGCTTTTTCCCAAACTCAATCGGCCCTAAAACTTTATTTCTCATACTCAATCTTTTTTTAAAAACGTCACTTTAATGTGTTTTTTAAAAACGTCACGTGGCCCATCATGTATGTTCCTCGCCAATCTCACACTCAGCATGTTCACCACCAACAACGACAACAATAATATTAAGACGAGAAGTTTTGCAAGACTCCACAAGAGAAAATAAACAAGAAAAAAAATTGAATGTAAGAGCACGGGACAGACAAAGAGAACAGAGAATGTGTTTAAAGATCAACATAAAGAATCGTTCAGCAGTTTTGTTCAAATCAGCACTCTAAGCTTTTGCAAAAGAAAAATCTATCAACCTTCCCTCTAAAGCAAAGGGCAAAGACATGCAATTATGTACAACTACAATCACAATTGCTCAACAGACTACATACACTTTTGAAAAGCTCATCAGCTCTACAAGGGCTTCCTTTCAAGTCTTGCACCTCCACAAGTCTTGCACGCCCATGACAGCTGGCCTCTAACAGAGCCTCCTCGCAAGCCGCCTGAGATGCCCCAGCTTTGAGTAAGATCTCCAATATCTCAAGGTGGCCCTCCCTTACTGATGCAGTTGTCGCAAAGCCCCTGAAAGGTTTCTGGTTCACATCGGCTCCCATACTGTGTCATTTAGAAAAAATGCCAACACTCAGCATATTGCAGAGACAGTGAAAAAACTCCACAAGTAGACATTATATGCATTTGTTCTTTTCTTTGCTAAGAATACACTGCCAGTACCCTTGGATTCTTCATTGAGAGCTAGAGGTCATGCACACTTGAAGACAAAAAGGGGGAAACATAACTGATGGGCCAGACAATTTGTGTCTATGCTGTAATTTATTTACTTTAGGCTCTACATTGGTTAATAGTTGTCCACAACTCAAAATGGGTCTTGCCCTGCTCATATATAAATATTCCTTATCCTATGGATATTGTTGATACATTCCCAAGGAATTTATTAGGGATATCCAACCCTCACCATATTGCAGAGACAGTGAAAAGACTCCCAGAAGTAGACATACCGTGCATTTGTTTTTTCCTTGCTCAAATTTAGCTAAGTCAGAAGAACAATACAAGGCTAATACCAGGAGAAGTGTCCAGGATTCTCCATTGAGTGCAGTTAAAGCTTCTTAAACTGGGGCTAATTCTCGATTTGGTTTGGATATTTGAGTATTGACTCGGGTTGATTTGATGAAGTTTCAATTAGTAATAAGGGATGGTAAACAAAAATCACAAAGAGTCCATACCACTAAATTTGTGCCTAAATGAAACTGAAATACAGAAATACTGTAGAGAATAGAATGAATAAACAAGAGTGAAGGTGCCAGGTGAGAACTCCAGAGAAAAAGTGAAGAGAAGAAAACAATAAGGGAAACCAAAAAAAATAAAATTGAAGAGCCGGCATATGCAGTAACAACCCCATATATTCAAGAGCAACATAGAGAACTAAGGTGGCCTATAATCTGAACCAAATCGCCCACAGTGAGCAAAACCCTGTTCACTAAAAATGCAACTGAAAATTGGCCAACTATGGATTCTAGAAATGGTTTGTCAAATGCAACTGAAAATTCACCGAATGTCAAATGCATCAGTACAAATTTTTTTTCACTGAATGTCAAATGTCAAATTATCATTATCAGGAAACTCATATATATATAATTGTCAGGAATTTTTATGAATAGTAAACAAAATTCATCTGAAACCCATCTGAACAATAAACAAAAAACGACATTAAATTAACAAATTCATCTGAAACCCACCTGAACAATAAACAAAAAAAGAATTATTAGGTCAAATAACAAACCGTAGCAAACTTATCTACATAATCAACATGAAATTACAGAAATAGTACACAAAATTTCCAAAAAATCCAATGGTAATTAAAAAAAAAATAGACAGATAAAAAATCAATTCGTTTAAGAACAAAACCCACCAAAACCATATAACCAACAAATCCTTAAATTAAAACACAAATCGTAGTTCTAACCTTTGTGAAGATGAGAACGTAGCGGATAAAGAGAGTGGTCTAGTTTGAAACCCCAACTACAGCTAATAGAGTTGAACAGGGGTTGGTTTTGTCGGACAGGGGCTGAGTCGTCTGGTCTCGTCAGAGAAGACGGTGGTTACAGTCGGAGGAGGAGGAGAGATCGATCGATCGATCGATCTAAGACAGTGGGCTGACTAGTTGGAGGAGGAGGAGCGAGGAGGGAGACCGATTTGTGAGAGAGGAGAGACCGACTGGACTGAGAGAGGCTAAAATTTTTTTAAAAGGTTTTCTTAAATGACATTTTAAACTCTTAAATTTTAAAAACATCATTTTAAATGATGTTTTTAAAAACGTCATTTAAAATAACGTTTTCATCTCTTTCTAATTTTTTAACGTCTGTTAGTGTCGATTAAAAAAATTATGTTCAAAAACATCATTCTGAATGACAATTTTAAAAGCGTCATTAGAAATGACGTTTTCAAAGAAAAAATTTAAACTTCAAAATGTCATTTTAAATGACGTTTTTAGGTGAAAAGACGTCATTTCAAATGACGTTTTTAAAAAAAGACTGAATTTAAGAATTAAGTTTAAAAATGACTATGTTTAAGAATTATGTTTTGAGAGCGAATGGATTTGGGAAAACCCTCATTGAATAAGTGGTTGGATCATTTTTGTCCTATCCAATGTGGCTGTTATGTTTGCACTAATCTCCATCATATTGCCCCTTATTACACGTAAACAATTTCCATAAATATGTCACTTGATAGATTAAAAAAAATGTAAAAGTATCTTTCATGTTGCCTCACAAATAGGGAATGAAATACTTTTTATTATTTTTTCATACAATTTTACTCATTAAAAAATTATATATCATGTGTTCACGTGAGATTTTATTATTTATATGTAGACCCTTCATTGTTTATATGTGAACCCCTAATTTATGTACAATAGATAATCTACCATTAAATAAAATTGTATTAAAAAATAATGAAAAATATCTAAATACTAAAAATAATGCTCGGGATTTAAAATCGACGAACTCATAAGTTTTTCACTAACATCACGAATTCTAATTATCGATAATATAGGGGAAAATTTTACTTTTGGTGAAACCCAAACTAAAATTTTTTAAAAAAATAATTTTATTATAATTTGTGGTGGATTATGTCTTGCAACTACCGGTCGATTCCCCCCTTGAGAGCACAGGTTCATTTAGAATATATCTCTTTATTGTTATAAATAAAGGCTTTCAGATACCTAGGAATTCAATCATAGTCTATTCTTTCTATTCTTTTTTCGACTTACGATCTAATTTAAAATATCGAAATCACTTTGTTTGGCTCTAGATGTTACTCCGAAATGTAGAGACTCATAGAACGAAATTATCCTCGCACATAATTCATGAAACTCGAGCGTCTCTGTATCATTGTTCAAATGTGAAAATTTTTTTGATGTGAATGACCTGCTTTTAACTTGATCGAAGAAATAATTACATCGAGAGAGTTTGTAAAATTGAATAAATGGAGGGGATTAACTGCCAAGAGTCCTTTGTATGGTTCACAAGTATAAATGTGTGAAAGACACAAACTCAAACTAGATTATATCCAAGTTTACCTTCATAGAACTCTCATTAACTATTAACACCGATCTTTTTACTAACTTTCTTAGTTAATTTGTTGTTAAATTTTAATATGTTAAGATTCATCACCCAACCCAAAACAAAAAAGGGTCCGGAGAATGTTCTCTTCCCTTGCCCTTTGTATCTAAAGTTCCCAATTTTTCTGGTAAATGCCCAAATCGTGTTCGACCTTCTTTTCTCTACAAAACAACACACTTTCTCATGAATCACCTCTCTATCTCTATATATATGTGTGTATACATACATAAACACAAACACACACACCTTTTTTACCACCTCCCCCGTTGCTAGTTCCAATTAAGCTGGACAACCAACTAGCCCACCATGTAAGTCGCTCCCACCCCGAGATCTATACAGCAAATCCACATCTTACACAACACCTCATTATCTAAATAGAACCAATTCATCAATCTCTCTCTCTCTCTCCCCTCCCCCCCCCCCCCCCCCCAAAAAAAAAAAAAAAAATACCACACATCCTGTTATATACCATACCCTGGCATTTCTCACCACCTAGTCTCTCACCAGTAAATTCACCCACCGGCCACAATGTACACCTACCCAATCTACGCACACCCAAATGATCTTGAACGTGCAGCTTCTTACATCCCCCTGCCAGAACAAACTGAATCCACCGGTTCTCCTGCCGATAAACGGCGGCCATGTAAGGGTATCGTCGGTATCTTCCTCTCCGTACTCTTTCTCTTCTCTTTGATAGTTCTGATAGTCAACCAAAGACCAGAACCTCAAGAAGAAGTCAATGTCCATCAACAAAAGCCTTTGCCTTCTACGCCGGTTTCACCGGTAACATTGAAACCACCGTCAAGAGGGGTGTCACAGGGCGTATCGGAGAAGACTTTCCGGGAGGTATCTGGTGAACCTGTCTACCCTTGGACCAATGCTATGCTGTCTTGGCAAAGAACGTCTTACCATTTTCAACCTGAGAAGAATTGGATGAATGGTAGGTAATGGGTAAAGATTAGCTCTTTCATTTTTCAACCCCATTTTTTATTAGTAATATAAATATATACACACACACACTCACATACATACATATAAACACACAGTCACACACACTGATCTGAACTTTTTGTTGATTCTCACGGCTGCTTTGGTGGAATTTTGGTGGCTCCTTCTTCAGATCCTAACGGTATGTTTTTGCATAAACCCCTTTTCATCATGTTCTTTAATAAGTGAATTGCGAATCAAAAAATTGTTAAAAAAGTTTTTCAAATGTTTCTTAAACGTCGCAGCATCCCATTTTAATTACTTAATTTAGCCGACTAAACTGAATGCTATTTAGACTTTATTTAAGAATAAAGTTTACTATTTAAGGCATTATTATTGTTAGAAGCATTATTCTGTTGCAATATTTTATTAGTTTTTCTTATTTTTTTATTTTAAAAGTTAATAAATGTGATATTGTAATATTTTTAATATATTGAAGATATATAATATAAAAAATATAATTTTTGAGAATATAAAATAAAAAATTTAATATTAGGTAAAATTGACATGAATGTGACCGTACCTCGGCGCCAGCTAGCCAAGGAAATGTGTGGCGAAGGTGAGGAGACCTTGGTACAGCAACATCTCCGACCTGGAAATCATAAATAGTAATCAATAATAACGTAATCAACTGATTACAAGTTTGCTTCTTTTTTGGAGATGTGGACCAATAGCATTTTAATTCTTTGGACGGTAGGTAGGTCCCACATACTCACGTGTCCGGCCTCCTGGCAGTTTGTAAATTAAGAAGCTCTTTTGTTTTTAGTGATAAATTCAGTGTTTAATAATATTTTTGTGAGTATGTTTTTGGCAATTTATTTTAACCAAAAAGCATTAACATTTGTTCCGTACCAAAAAAATATTATCGTAATATAAGTGTCTAAATTGTCACAAGATTAATTAATTTTAGAATGACTCAAGTTAATGAACATCCATGAACAAAGTTGGCAAAGCCTAGGTGGAGGTTATTTTTAGCATTTAATTATAGTCTTATTTATGGTATATTATATTATTATTTTTTAGTTTAAAATTGAAAGTCAACTTGATAGGAAGGTTCAATCCAACCTTGTTTGAGATAATTATGTACGTAAGAAAATACTACTTTTCCGAAGCAACATATCAAATGTTATTTAAATACGTAACTTCATATGAGAAAATATCATCTGGGGTTAAGAAGACTTGTTCTATTTTATTTAACTAACGTGCACGATTAATATGTGTCTCAAATTTGACCGTCTGTTAGGCACATGAGAGCCAACCAGCTTGGGACAAAACATTAGGAACCTTCACTTACAAAACTTGTGATAGTTATCAAATTGGCATGTCATCAATAATTGACCTCAATAATACAAACACATGATCAATTATTATGTCAAGAAATAAAAGATGATGTGGGCTGCTTCGGAATGGAGACCCATTATGTCTTCAAAGAAATCTATGCATGTTTATCAATTGTGGTGGTGGATTTATGTTAAAAAGTATTCAATTCGTGTCTAAAGAGTTGTGTTATATGGAGTTCGAGTCGTGTATAAACGAGTCGTATTCTTTTAATTGATTTCACTAATACCTGATTCGTTGATTAATCGTGTCATGTCGTATTTACTCGTTTACGAAACGGACGACTTAAAGAAGACGCAAATTTTCTAATTTCGTGTTGTGTTAATAAATCGTATCATATTTTGATATTCTTAAATTTCTGTCTATAGTTCAAGTCTTGTAAGAGTCACAAGAATTCCTACTAGGTCTAAAACTTAGATTTAGGTCTGTCTATAGTTCAATTTTGATTGGTCTGATAAACATTGGCATTTGTATACAAATAATCTAAACTCGAATCTATTATATATTGTTCCACAGGTTTAAATTTGAATATATTAATGTTTAATCTGATTTTAATTTGATATGAATCATGTACACATTTTTTGTTTATTGAGTTATTCAAATTGTTTTTAATGTTTAATAAATTCAAATATGAATTATAAAAATAAAATTCATTGAATATTCCAATGGAATTTGAATAGTAGTTTTAAATTAAATCTGTATTCGAAATGATTAAAATTCAATCCATCAAGAGATCTACTTGGATTCTAAGGATAATATTTTCATGTATTGTAGGTCCATTGTTTCATATGGGGTGGTACCACCTGTTCTACCAATATAACCCTGACTCTGCTGTTTGGGGCAACATCACGTGGTCCCATGCTGTATCAAGGGACCTGATTCACTGGCTCTACCTTCCCTTCGCTATGGTTCCTGATAGCTGGTTTGATTTGAATGGTGTGTGGACTGGGTCCGCCACGATCCTTCCTGACGGCCAGATCATCATGCTATACACTGGGGACACCAGTGATGAGGTGCAGGTACAAAATCTTGCGTACCCCGCCAACGTGTCTGATCCTCTTCTCCTTGATTGGGTCAAGTATCCGGGTAACCCGGTTATATTACCTCCACCCGGCATAGCTCCTGACGACTTTCGGGACCCGACCACCGCATGGCTCGGCCCGGATGGTAAATGGCGGACCTCTATTGGGTCAAAAGTGGGAAAGACAGGAATTTCGCTGGTTTACACAACAACAAACTTCACAAGCTATGAGCTGGAGGATGGAGTTCTGCACGCAGTTCCGGGTACGGGTATGTGGGAGTGTGTGGACTTTTACCCGGTTTCAACTACGGAGCCAAACGGGTTAGACACATCGACAAACGGACCGGGTATTAAGCATGTGCTCAAAGCAAGTTTAGATGACAATAAGCATGATTATTATGCACTTGGGACCTATGACCCTATAAAGGACATATGGACACCTGACAACCCGGAGTTGGACGTGGGTATCGGGTTGCGGGTCGATTATGGAAAATACTATGCATCAAAGACATTTTATGATCAGTATAAGAAGAGGAGGATCTTGTGGGGTTGGACTGGAGAAACTGATAGTGAAGATACTGATATCATGAAGGGCTGGGCATCGGTTCAGGTATTTTATTTTCTTAAGTAAATTGCATATATAACCCTCAAATTATGATCCGTATCAATTAAGTTCTTAAATATTTTTTTTGTGCCAATTAAATTTTCTAATTGTATCAATTGAACGATTGTTTTTGTTAGATTTTTTAAAGGAAAACGATGAAGTGATACAAATGTGTTAGAATAAATTATACATATGACCCTCAAATTAAGATTTTTGTGTCAATTAAGCCTTTACATTTTTTTTTGGTATCAATTGAACTCTCTCATCATCAATTGAGTCCTTCTATCTTTTTGTGCCATATGGTGACACACTCTGACAAGGCAAAAAATAGTTGAATACCCATCAGCTCAAATTTATGCTTGAAGTAATATTATTGTATATGATGGTTTTGGGGTGTTTTTGTGAATGTTTGCGATGTGTGCGTGCTGATTTTCGCACAACAGTAGAAGTAGGAACAGATCTCTCTCACGATGAACTGTGGTTAGACAAGACAGTAATTCCGGCGGAATGGAAGGTTTGCTTTCAGAATCTATGGTCGCCTCCGACAGAGTTTCGACCCATCCGAAAGTGGGTTTTGGCAACAAGAAGTAGGTTAAGAAGGACAAAGGAGCCCTAAGGACTGGTGATGAATTGATGTTGGGTCGCTTCACCAGTCCTGGAAGACTGTAGGGGGATCCTGTGACACAGAAAAACAAGTTAAAAGGGTGCCGGAGTGCTCTCCAGCGTATCCCCTCCAATGATCAAGTCAGTTCTTTGAGAGAGGGGAAGAAGAAAGCACTGTGGTTCTTTTCAGGAGTTCTTGCGTACCTTTACAATATGTTTTTGAGAACTATTTATATCTTCAAAAGCTCATCATTGCTGATAATTTAGCTAGTAGGCAATCATTAGAGATGGGGCAGTGTTCTCTCTTTCCTTTAGTGGAGAATGCATTCAGTCTTAACTGCTCGGGACGTCGAGCAATTGATGCTTTCCCCTCGGTCTGCTGAGTATTTATTGCCCTTCCTTCGGCGAGGGAGTATTAAATGCCCAGACATTGGAGCATTTAATGTCTTTCACTTCTAGGTCCCCATGCCTTAAATGCTGTTCTATTAGGAAGGGGATTCATTAAATACATACTTGCTCTAGTCATGTGTCAGCGGATGTACCCTGATTTTTTTGTTACTGATTTGATATCAAATTCCACGCGTCTACTCCTTCTTGGTTGCGTGTTCTGCATCTCTGCTTCTCCTGACACCTTTGAGCAGAGCGTCTTCATGATGATTAGTCTAGCTTGTCCTAGACTAGCCATCAGTCAATCATTATCTTTTGTAGAAACAAAAGGAAGGTTGGATTCAGCCTACAGAAGGAATACCTCGGCACCGAGAAACATTTATCTATCTCGGGGTCAAGGATTTTTGCCGAGTCGAGGACACGTGTATTGACCACTCCAATGGGGGGATCCCTCGGCTCTGAGCACTATGGCCTTGGCTGATGGGGATGACTGTCGCCGAGGACCCGTGGTCATTCCTGGCTGGAAACATAACGATGCCGAGGACACGTGTCGTCGATCTATCTTTTTTGAGAAATGTCCCATCGCGATGAAAGAAAAGTTCTTGGTAAAGCATAGTCCGAAGATATCTTCGTTTCTAACCTTTACTGTTGAAATACATAATGGTTCCTCTCTCTCACATCCCAGGATTGGATTGTTTTATTCTATCTTTGATCATCCATATCTTCAGTTACTTCTATTTGATGAATACCCAACAATTCAAATTTATATTTGAAGTTAAATTTTTGTATTTCATGGTTCCGGGATGGTCTGTTTTTTATGGGATGAAGGAAGAGCTCATGGTAACCAGAATAAGAGGATGAAATAAGTAGTGATTCCTCTCCAATCGATTGGATTGCTTTGTTCTATCATTGTTCATTCCTATCAAGTAAATGTGGAATTGTTTTGTTACAGAATGTAGGTGATTGAAATCAAATTTGAGGGCATACTAAAACGTAATTTTCTAGTGTTAGTTAAGGATGAGCTCTTTGATTCCTGTATAGGGAGAGTAAGGGTTGGACTTGCCAAAGCCTATGTATTTTTGAAGGCATATGAACAGTGATTGACTCATGTCCAGAGGTCAAGTTTCGATGGGACAATACCGATCGGCTCTTTCTATTAACCCATTCCACCTCAAACACAATCCTGAAGCTTTGTCTGACTACTTGCTTAGATAATACAAAGCTGAAAATTTTTAGTATAGTGAATATTAATGATGTTTAAAGTAGCTATATTTAGAGGTATTGACCGGCAGGGTCCTGATCAGAAAAAAAAACGGCAGGGAAGAGTTAGGACTAATTGTGTGATTTTCAAAACATTTAAATGCCTGGCCAAATGTTGAACTATTCTATCCATGATGAAGAGTTAGGACTTTAAATAACAATTTTAAAGTTCCACTTTAGATTTGATGGCATTTGACTTTTGAATATTCTCATTGTAAATGTTGTGATTGAGAAGGTAATGGCTATGGCACCAATGATAGTAGATATTTACAATAGAGTTTTGAAACTTGGTTTTTTACATGGCATACTTTTACCCATGAATGAAAGCAATCTCAATAATGGTAAGAGAATCCTTCTCAGTTGCGTCCAAAAAGTTGCAGTGACAGAACTTACTTGACATTGAGTAATTTTGCAATTGGAAAGGTTTCTTATCAAAGTAATTATTTATATGAATCATCACTTGTAATTATGAATTACATTGCAGGTGAGTTCATTCACCATCATGAATTTATATACAAATGCTATGTAAATCACAATCGGATCATTTTAAGTTTTTTGTGAATCTACATGTACATTGAGAAAGTTTAGCATTATTGCCTATTTTTTGCCTTTCCATTTTAGCTAAACTTACTGCCAAGCAGAAGTCACTAAAAACAGCATCTGAATTTATCCGTGGAGCATAAAGATGGCTTATGGTGCATAGTAATTTGTTGTTGTGTTCCACAGACAATTCCAAGGACCGTGGTGTTTGACAAGAAGACAGGAACCAATATACTTCAATGGCCTGTTGAGGAAGTGGAGAGTTTGAGGTTGGGCAGTAATGAATTCAACGAGGTGGAGCTTGCACCAGGATCAGTTGTGCCACTTGACGTGGGCTCAGCTACACAGGTTTGGGATTCATTTTGCTAAACTTGTAAGATTATTATAGCTTTTTCTTATATAACTGTCAACTTTACATGAGCCCTGTTTGTAAATGGTGACAGTTAGACATAGCTGCAGCGTTTGAAATAGATAAAGAAGCTTTGGAGGCGACTGTTGAGGCTGATGTGGGTTTCAATTGCACTACTAGTGGTGGCACTCGCAATAGAGGCATTTTAGGACCATTTGGCCTTCTAGTTCTTGCTGATGAAACTCAATCTGAGCTAACACCTGTTTATTTCTACATTGCCAAAGGCACTGATGGGAGTGCTGAGACTCACTTCTGTGCTGATGAATCAAGGTTTTGCTTCTTTTCTTTTTTACAGTTGCAATTTTCTCTTTTCTTCATCTAGCATGCTTAGCCTCCTCTGCATTGCATATGATGTGCGTCACAATAGCCTGTATCATTTGTATTTTCTTTTTCGAATCAAATCACTAACTACTCCCAAACTGTGCACATTCTTAAGACTCATGTTGACCCATGGCCAGAAGATTCTTGGTTCTTAAATATCATTTCCTATAAATATGAATCAATGTATAAGCTTCTGCAAACAAGAAAATCATTTAACCTAGTTGTTAATGCAGGTCATCAAAGGCTGCTGATGTTGGCAAACAAGTTTATGGAAGCAAAGTTCTTGTGCTAGATGGTGAAAAATTCTCTATGAGATTATTGGTATGTGAGAATCTGTTATTATTATTTTTTATCCGTTTAATTCTCTTAATTTTTTTTTTTGAGTAGTTATACTATTAAAGTCTTTGGTGAAAGGGGAGAACAATCTTAATACTGTGAAATTGGCTTGGCTGGGTTGCATCCAAATTAGAAAAGAAAAAATAGGGAAAACTAATACCGAAATATGTTACTAAGGCACCGCTAGTTCAGCTAGGGTCCATGGGAAAGACTTGTTACAAACATCGGTGAGTTTGGAAAGCAGGTTAGTAGTAGTAATCTAGTAGAATACCTCCCAGTGGCCACTGTAAGTGTAGGCACTTTTGCATTTGAATTCAACGTCTCAAAGCCTTCTTGGTACATCTCTGGTGACAAGTTGAATCATATCAATATCAAACACCATCCAATAAGTTATTCAAGAACCTCGGTATTGAAGAGTATTTTAGAAGGAAATCCAAATTCAGAAGATGTTTTTCAGTCAATTTGATTTGAAATAAATCCACAACTATGCGTTGTTCTGCTCGGTGCATAAACCTAAATTGTTCAAAATCAATTCAGTTGGATCACTCCATAGTGGAAAGCTTTGCTCAAGGAGGGAGGACAGTCATCACATCACGAGTTTATCCGACAAAGGCAATAGACGGAGCAGCTCGAGTATTCATGTTTAACAATGCCACAGGATTGAATGTCAAGGCATCAGCAAAGATTTGGCAAATGGATTCAGCAGATATTCACCCTTTCCCCCTGTAACAGTTGCACCTAACCAGCCTATTGTATTAAGTTCCATCATTTTTCGTTTGGTTGCCCAGAAAATGGAAGAAAGAGAAGAGAAAATATAGAATCTTCCAGCAACCAAACGTGATATTGTTTATTTCAATTTTTCCGTTGGATCGCATCTCTAGATTTAGGCATGTTCATCAGCAATGTCTGTTATATTGCATCTGGAAAATGAGTAGGTATTTGAAATTTCCAGCTGCCCTTGATGCAATGAACTGTTGGTCTTGCGGATGTTTCATCAGATTGTCCCACATCACTTCACCAAAACCAGAAACCAAGTTACCCAGTTTGGTACAGTACCAAAATTTATAATAAAACCATTTACATTAAACCGTGGGTTATCCTTATTTTACAAATTAATAGATCCTGTTATAATTTTTGTATTTTAATCAAACGTGCCTAACAACCAATTTGAGGTGGCATTTAGCCTTTGCTTCATTAAAAATTTGGTATTTTAAGAGGACTGACTTTGTCTTGTATCTCAAACCTCTGGCACCATAAAAGCAGTCAATTGCTGCTTAAATCATGGCTCATGGCTCTGGTTTATATATATTTATGTACTTTCCATTTTTTTTTTGGGTGTCTGTAAATAACATTTTCCATTTTGTTGTGAATTCAGATACCATATCCTAAGTTTTAAAGTTTTTTTTTTGCCGGATAAAAACTGTGTTTCTCAAATTTGTTTATCAAATATTGTATCATTAATAATGTGTTAAAATTATGTGCATTAAATGTTTGGTCGAGTTAGTGGATCCCATTGATCCAATGACCTACATTGATTTGAGATGGTAAATGATTTGGCAAGTGTAACATTGCCCTTTTTTTTTTTTTCCAGATATAAACAAACTTAATAAAACATACAAAATTTATATTATTCATTGAAGTCTAAAATTTGCATACCATCTAAATTATTGGGGTACAAATGTTCTGTTGGATGTTTTGAGCTTCATTATAATATCTTTGTTTTTGGTTCAATAAAATTATTTACTTTACAAAAAAAAATTACACTTTTTTTAACGGTTTAAGTTTTAGATTAGATGGTTATTTAATGTAATGTCAGAGCATGAGATTATATATTCTAATCTCGTCGCCACTCTAATTATTAGAATTTTTTTTACATATTAAACCCAAAATCTAACTTGTACGTGAGAAAAAGTGTTGAAGTATAAATATTTAAATTACACCATCTTTAACAACTTAAATTTTTAAGGTAGATGCTTGTTTAACATAAATTAAGTTAATAAGTAATTCTATACTTATCAAATTATTTACCATATTTTGTATCCTAAATTAGTGTGGGACCTATGGGTGGTTGGATCAGTAAAGTCCACTAACTTCTACTAAACATTCTAAGGGTTCGTTTGGTTGCCGTATTAAAAATGGATGAATTGGATAAACTAATACAGTATAATACACTACAAATAAATAAAAGATAAGATTAAATATAGTATTAGGATAATACGTAATTTTATCTAGTGTTTGACAATACACAATATAAACGTTAGATAATAGTTATTTAATCTAATCGGTTGTTTGATTAGAGAATTATTTTATCGTGTTAATGTTGAATTAAAAAAAATATCATCAATTAATGTTTGTTACATTAATGACAGTTTGATTTAATCACTTAAAGGATTATAATAATAAATGTGTAAAATAATACGTTTGAGATGATTTATAATACAACCTCTTTTAGTGGTATTAAAAAGTTTAGTGGTATTAAAAAATCTTTATAATACAAGTCTATCGTATATAAAATATACGATAAATATACGTTCTTGAAATTAATACATTATCAAATTTACTTACCAAATAAAATATTAGATCTGATTAAATAAAAAATAATATAATCTCATATTTAATTCTTTTAATAATACGTCTACCAAATGCATAAGATTTTAACAAATTATTTGTAATATAATATTTGATAAACAAATTTATGAAGCGGGACAAAAATTTTGGTTGGTAAGCTTAAGCTGATGTGTTGACACGTAGATACATATTTTATTACGGAAACAACAAAGATAATTTACTCAACATAAAAAATATTTCATTGTTTTTTGCCAGGCGGCGTTGGAGGTGAAATGGGTCCACTATTTATCATTGTGAGAGTTTGTGTAAATTATATTTAAGCCTCCTAAAATTTTGTCATCATATACAGAGACCTCTTTACATATGAAAAATCACACCATCAACCATTAAATTTTGATATGTTACAACATATAGACCTTTGCCATTAAAGTCCATTTGAATCAATGTCTCATCTACATGATATCTTCATATGTTTATAGACCTGAAATAACCAGGTCACCAAGCTCCCACAAAATCCCACCCTTGTGTTTTCCATAAAAAAGTCCCTATCAGTTCCGCCAATTTATTTAATAACATCTATCTCTTATTGGTAACAAATCACTGAATCTCTTTCACTCGTCGCCTCCATAACACCAAACACTCCCTCCTAATATCGATCTACAACAACAACCCACCAAATTGGCAACACCTTAACCCTCCTCTGTGGAGGGAGGGAACGAATAGTTCAAGGAGTTTTGTAATATGCCAAAGAGAGATAGGGTGGGAAGGTGTAGGGGAGACACATAACAAGGCTTAAAGGGCATTTTACGTGGGGGAAATTAACACTTTGGACATAGTCCACGTGCAAAGGACCGTGTAATGGAGGTGGGGGGGAGGGAATAGTGAATCAATGGGATGGGGAGGCAAACAGGGTAGGGGGATTTAGAACTTTTGTAGAGAGAGAGAGAGAGAGAGAGAGATGAATCGAAAGGAGGAGGATATAAACAACTAGGTACTTCACATCTTTTGTGTATGATAATTATTGACTTAAAGTTTGGGCCCCTTTTAGAGCCCAAGACCCTCTGTATTGACAAGAAACGGTCCAAGAAGTCAATTCAGACAACGTCCCTTGGGCTCGAATTGAGCTACAACCCAGTTCCACGAAAACTCAAGATTAACGAGCTCGGTACGGGTCTCAGCTCAAAGCATAGGAGCTCGACACAAGGTCAACCTAAAAAGCTACAACACGACACATGGCACAAGAGATAAGGGAACGCTGTCTGTCGGCTTTGATGAACTAAAACCCATAGGTAGTGAAGACAAATTAAGTACAACAAACTGTAAGTAGTGGATGCATAAATGTTCTGGGGATCATAGCAGTAAGATGAAGACAACAACGAAAGGGACCACAAGATTAGCCAAGAAAGACAAACGTGAAACCTTAGTCATCAAAATAGTATAAATAACTAAAAGTGATATAGGGCACAAGAGGAGAGAGCACCAAGTAAGCTAACGAGAGAGAGAATTAAGCAATACCTTGTGACGACTTCAAGCCAAACTCTGTAAAACAATCACCGTCTTCTCTAAGAAATACAATCTGGCAAGCCCAAAATCAATTGGGTTAGCTCATTAAATCAAGAAGGAGCCCAAGTCATCAGAGCCTAAAAAGAGCCCAAGTCGCCAGAGTCCAAACGAGACACCCAAGGGGCGCCGCCCAAGGGGTCACCCAAGCCCCTGGCGCCGCCCATGGGTTGGCCCTCCAGTCTCTCCTTTGCCCTCCTCACCTTGCCACTCCGATTCAAGTTCAACCCAACTCAGGATCCAAGAAGCCCGAAGGGATAGGAGCATGTGGGAGCGAATATTGAGATATGCGTTGATGGAAATCTAATTGTACCTTAATTGTACTCATCAAAATAGTAGAGCCCTCTCCCTCATGTCACCGCCTCTTCATATTTATATAATGTAAGCTCTCTCCACATAGAAGACAACACATTAGTATCCCTCTACACACCAAGTTTTTCTCTCTTAACCATTGTAATTCTCCCAGAGTGTACTCTCCTGGTTACATTATTCATCAATAAAGATCTTCGGTCACCGTAATCGTTCTAGAGAGTGGAGTAGGTCACCCGCACCGAACCATTATAAATCTTTGTATTGACTCCATAATTACTATTTTGCCATCGATTGCTTTATTTATTGCTCATTAATTGTATCTCTTGATATACTCGACTGTTGATCTTGCGCAATATAAATTTGTGCATCATCACAATCTTCAAGGAGTAAGAACCTCCTTTATAGTGAATGTAATCTTAGTTTCTCGACTAAGACGAACAACTTATATTTTATCTTTACCTCGTTGATCACCCATAGTATACACCTTCACACACACACACACACACACACACACACACTCATACATCCATACATTTATCGGACTTCATCCAATCCTACTTTGCAACTTGGGCCAGTTTGTTTCGAATACCATTAGTGTATATATGTATGCGCGCTAGAGAGGTATGTGGGAATGGTGGTGGTTGTCCATGTGATGGTGGGTTATTGGGGGAAAATGAAGTGAAAATAAGACAATTGGATTATTTGTGGGTTTAATGTTATTTGGATATGTGTTGGAAATATTCATTGGTTGGATTAAGTTGTGTAGGTGTTAATTTTTTTGGATTACGGGTAGAGATAAATTGATATTTTTGTTACATTCATTAGACCATATGCAAAACGTTATTAATAAGGGGTCTTACAATGAATTATCATACTTTAGATGGTCTATGTATATTAGTAATTACAAGATTTAGATGTAATTCTGCATTTTTGTATTGTCCATTTTGGTTGTGATGTCTGCCCTACCCCCATTATATATCTCGTACACGAAAAAATATAGTCAAGAGAAGTGTTTTTATCATATTAAATGCAATTAGAGAGTCACTATATCAATTCTGAAATTTAAAGAGTAATCTCTCTGTATAGTTTATAAACCTCAACAGACGAGCTGCATATACACTCAACCACCATTTTAAATAAAAAAAAATCCACTTACATCCACTTATTATTTATTTTTATTAACGAGTAACATCTGTAAAGTAAAACCATTTTAGACCCATCCTTGTAAGAGTACCTTACAATCGCTCCTAAATTATTGAAAGACACTAATCAAAGTTTATGAGTCATCCAAGTTCAACCCGAAGAACTATTCATGTTAGTTGTTTACACACCTTTTAAGAACAACTAAGGGTTGCGACAAAATATTCTTGCAAGTGATGATAGATAGTTACTGAATGAGTATTTTTCTGAAAACTGGTTCTGATTAGGTTTATCTGAATCGCTCCTCTCTCTCTCATCAGTGAATTTACCCACTGCCCACGATGGACACCAACCCAGCATCCTACACTCCCCTACCAGAGCAAAATGAATCCACCGGTTTTCCGGCGGATTACCGGCGACCCTCGAAGGGTCTCGTCGGTATCTTCCTCTGCGCACTCTTTATTTCTTCTTTGGTAGTTCTGATCGTTAACCAAGGATCAGAACCCCAATCAGAAGTCAATGCCCATC